CAGTAGAGGAGGGATGTACCTTCCTTTGGGACAAGTCTCAGAAAGAGAAAGTTAAAAAGCCTCTTCTGGTATAAATTCACTAACCTGCCAAGTGTACTCTGTCCCTCACTGGGGACAAGGAAGAACGGACGAGTCACGTGGTGAGGCAAATGGGATGCTGCCAGGGGGATTTGGCCTGAGAGCTCACTGGGTGGAGAAGGCATGCTCCTAACAGGAGTAGTTAAGGAGGAAGCAGCAGCCTGAAATTTATGCCAAGATCAGTTTTGGCAGCCAATGATTGCGTAAGCGTAATGCATGCGCACAGTGATGGTACGCACGCCCGAGAGGCCTTCAGCAAATGAAATTACAGCCAATCTAAGGGGGATGAACTTGGTACCTTTATAAATGGGTAGTAGAGAAAGTGAAATATTAATGGATATTTATACTTTTAAAATGTTTGCAAAAAAAAACTATTTTGGAATAAAAAGGGAATACTAAAGTTTGATAGAATGTGGTATAAGGGGTATCTTTTTAACCAAAACTAAAATGCTTACTGTAACAGCGTGCTTAAACACACAAACCCTTTCAATACTACCCATTCTATAAACTCCCTGCAAGACAGCTATATATGTAAACAAAAATGGTTACCATAAAGGGGTGGAGCTATGGTTTCTGCAAAACATAGAATGTGAAGGCAGATAAGAACCATTCAGCTCATCTAGTCTGCCCAATTTTCTAAATACTTGCATTAGTCCCTGGCCTGATCTTATAGCTAGGATAGCCTTATGACTATCCCACGCATGCTTAAACTCCTTCACTGTGTTAACCTCCTTCCAGTTTTGTTCAACTGTAATGAAGTTTTGATTCACGCAGTTGTGCGATTGGAACTTTGGTGAAACACAAAGCTTCTTTTACCATCATATTTACCAGTTGCAATGTAAAGTGGAAGAAAGATAGATAACGGCAGAATGTGAGCTCAGCAGACGATAAACCTAAGATATTAGGAATGCACCGAAAATGTATCAAATTGGCCAAAAATGACACCCCCCCCTTTCAAGGCCGGCGCTACCATAAGGCAGCCGCCTTAGAGCGCACCGGCCATGGGAACGCAATGTCAAGCTGTCCAGCATGAGGGAAGCGCACTGTGCTCCCCTCTAGTCGGTTACTTCTTGTAGCATGGCCGAGCGCAGCCAAGGTCATACCTCCTGCGGAGAGCAGTCTTCTACCGTCTCCTCTACAGGGCAGAAGGACGCGGCAGTCACGTGACACGGCCCAGGGAGGCCGGTGTTGTATCAAAATCCCCTACCTCATGAAAATCCTTTAGGGTTAATGTTAGGGTTCAAATAAGGGTTAGGTAAGTGATTCTAACCTCTCTCACACTCTATTCTTACCCTAACCCTTGGGGTAAGGGTTAAAATAAAGTGTGAGAAATCACTATTTAGTGATATTCGCCTAATGTGAAATATCACAAAATATGAACAAGTCCCTAATCCTAACATTAACCCTAAATGTCCCATGTCCTAAGCTTAGTGAATGCACTAACTATAATGAAAGTGTAAAACTAGTTTTACTTACCTTCCAGGACCTTGCTGTGGAGGAGTAGCAGGAGTGCTAGCACGCATGTGCAGCACAGGATCCAGCTGATTCCCCTCACCGGAAGTGACAAGGGTAGGGGATTTTCATGGGTAGGGGAATTTGATATAACACCGGCATGCGCCTGATCCGAACACAGCGCTGATACGTTCCATGGGGAAGTGTGAGTTCCGCACAGCATGGCTGCCAAGGTATGTGTGCAGTGAATGGGGACAGGGGCTGTAACTGGCTGGGCTGCAGGAAATTTTACATTAGGCTTACATCACTGCCTCTCAGCAACAGACCTGACACTATCTATGAGGAAGGGAAAGCATTGGGAGAGAGACAGTTTTTTTACACTGTGTTGAACCACTATATCTATATTTGTCCAGCTCAAGTTAAGGTAAAATAGCTCTTTGTTCCTGATATTTAAGCAGATGGCTAAAACCCAGCTATCTTGAGCTATGCAGTGTTGCAGAAAACAAGCGTAACTAAGCATGCATAACTATTTTTAAACAGAAGCTAAATTGAAAGTAACGTCACTTTAATGAAGTGATTTTAGGGTAAAGATGCTGCCCATACAACCTTGCAGTTGAAAACTGCATTTCTGAGAAACTGGCTGTAGGAAACAGAGATATCAGCAACTCCGCTTACATTGAACTCTTATTGGCTAAGAGGATTATGTTATAAGAGCGAATCTTCTGAATGGGTCATATGCATCACTGGGGATTTCAGGATAGGGACAGCCTAAGGAGACACTTAGTGCCTTGTGGGCATCTCCAGTCTGTGGCTAGTAAGGTTGGTCTTATTCTGTGCCCATCTTTAGTTTAGCCCTATGCCCCTGCAAGATCATACCTGACTCACAGCAATCAACCTTAAATGAAAAAAAGCTTGATCTTTTTATATAGATAAGATGGGGTTGCTAAATGTGTATTCTCAAGGATGAATTCTGGGTGCAGTATTGAGGTGGCTGCTGTTCTACTTACAATGAAAAGTGATGCCCATTCCATGACTTGTTATACATTCCACAGGGCAACACTGTCAGTTGCTGTCCATCAGTTTTTATAAGTGCTGTGTCCAGTAAAAGGTGGGGGAGATCTGGCAACCTGCGTGAGCACCAGTTACTGACTACTTTAATCAAAAGCACTAAGTCCAGCTGTATAGGCCAGTCCCAAATGTTTGGATTTGCCATGAGACTTTGTTTATATGACCATGTCCCAATCTCTGTACTCAGCCCAATTTGTGCTAAGTATGGTTTCTTTGACATTAAGCAGTTAAACTGCTGGAGTGACCCTGCTTCCCCTCACTCTGTCAGAGCAACAGATTTGCATTTACCTGATCAGCTGTCTGAATGACAGTCCTTTGTAATCATGATTGTTGTATCAGGATAATAAGGAAGTTTCTTAAATTATCGGAATGAAACAAATTCCTGAAAGGTTCTGTTGTGTGTTTTTGGCTTGTAGTTTTTTCATATTAGATTCACTAAAAAGTCTATTAATAAAATTATATATATAAAAAAAAAAAATTAAAACCATTTGGGGAAAAGTCATTTTTGATTTAGGCCCAGAATTTTGTTTTGGTGCATCCCTAAAGAGATACAGCTCACTTCTACTTACGTTATGTTTTTAACTTTGATGGAAATAATTCTGAGGAATGCCTCAGGCACCTGGTGCACAAGTTTGCATTCATTAGAATTCTCAAATAGTCTTTGTTTTAGTCACATGACAAATATAGGCATATGCCACTTTCAGACCATACAATCATCCCTGCCAAATTTTGCCATCACATTGTTCCATCCTCTATTCTACTGCTAGAGGTCTGTAGAGACCATCTGATTTTCTGAAACCTGCTGTACAGTCCATATAAACTTAAAGGATTCCACGGCTTGAATGGAATCCTTTTAAGTTTGAAAGCATATTTTTAATTAACATGGACATTATTCAAGATCTTAGATCTGAAAGATGGGTGCAGCTTCAAAGCAGATAAACACAAAAGGATATGATGACAACTGATGTTCACCAATAAGCTTGGCAGAAGTTATTGCAACAAGAATAATATTTCGACTTCAGTAAATCGTATCTAATTGAATTAAAATTTAAGGCCAAGATAGCCAAACTGAAAAGGATAACAGATTTGTTATTGCAGTTAGGTTATTTTGACAATTCAGATTCAATTTTAATATTACCTTTTAATTTACTGACTTCAGTACTGCAGATTCTTTACAATAAGAGTCTGAAAGTAATGCCATCCTAAATACGTTAATCTGACCCATGCTGTGCGTTGTGGTCGTCATCTATCATTTGTTAAGCCCTGCCATTTGTGTAACATAACCTCAGCGATTAGGCTAACTGATGCCCATTAATATCTGCTGGGGAGGAAGAATATATTCGGTGTGCAGCTTGTGTATCTTGGAATACACATTTGTGTATACAGGTGCACATCTGGCAGTATGCTTCTAGCCCATATAAGTGGACTTTAAATCCCCTGCTTTACAGCTACCCACAGTGTTTCAAATATATTCTTGTTACACATCTCAATGCAGAACCAACAGAAGTTTCCTGGAGTGTAAGCTGTCAGAATTTCAATGTTGCCTGCAGAAATTTCTTCCATTCACCTCCTTTGGCCTAACAGCTGAGGTTAATTTACTGGTGACCAGTCACATGTGATGTTATAAGGCATTATGCAATTTTTTTCTAGCAGTTCCAAGAGCTGACCTACAACACATGCAGACACCATCAAGGAACTTCACGCCCAGGTCTATGGAGCCTGCTCTTATTCATACATCCTTGGTCAGCAAACGTTTATTGAAAAACTACATAAATATCTTCACTTCCAGTCATGTAGGACACAATGGATCTCACAAATTATGTGACATTGCCTTAGATCCTAGAGTGTCATGATATTACAGATTTTTTTTTTTTAAACAGACTTCAGAATATTATTCAGTTTTGTGAAATCAATTACACAGATTTCACACCAAAAAAACCGACCAAATATTTAATACATGAAAAGAATACTGTGCTAATTAAATATAAAAATCACCACTACTATGTAGTATATTAAAACTAGATGTTGACACCTTAATTAAAGTTATGGTTTCCAAACTGGCACATGCCTCTTCATAGAGAGCTGTGAGGACCATTGGTTCTATGGAGGATCCCACTCTTTACCATAGGCTTTGGTGTTGTAATGTGCAAGAGTACAGTCACAAGAGCTCCGGGGGGGATAGAGCACCTGGAACTACAGAAGGTCCCCATGTTAAAGAGTGCAGTATTTGCAAGTTATTGTTATTTTAGTTACCTGTTTTCCAGTCTAGACCAGAGGATGCATTTAACAAACAACCTTACAGAACACACAAACAATGTAGGTGCGCTGCTTTGCAGTATATGGTCAACTACAACAGCTGTCAACTAGGCAAGAGTTAAAATAATTTGGAAAACCCAAGACAATTGTAGTGATAAACATCTTTATTTGTAACATTCATTTGACAATACAATTTAAACATTGATAATTTGCAGTGAAAACAAACTCACCTCCCTTGATTGTCTAAGGCAGCTTTAGCCAATAGTGGTACTACAGAGTTAAACACTAAAACATGTCTGAATTCCCAACAGTACAAACTACCTATTTAGGTCTTAACACCATCAGATTCTAAATGGCAATGTTTTCAGTTACAGGGTCACCTAGACCGCTTCATCGAGATTAAGGAGACTTTATAGGCAGACAACTTAATCTACAATTCAAATGTTTGTCTAGCCTTCAGGATTCTCAAAAACTATGGACATCTACGGTTCCAAACTGCCAGAATTCTTTATTAATATAAAAATTATAAGTCTCCAATTAAGTGGATGGAACATTACATTTTGGATATAGCATGTACCACAGTGGAAGTGCTTGGATGATGCCTTGGGCTTATATGGTCAGATAGCTGTACAGTGTTTACTTCTTGATAAACTACATGGTAGGGGGATACTAAAGCAATATCTACAAAACATGTCAATACTAGTGTCTACAGACTAATATTGAACATTAGTTTTGCCTGCTATAGTGGTTCTGGCATCAGTAAAGGCACTGCCAGACAAATTTGTCAAGACATAGAACATTGACAACTTGCCAAAGCACTAAACAATGCCCTTTATTGGATGAGCCAAGTTCAGAAAAAAAACTGGCTTATCCTGCAGGCAATGACTGAAAATAGTGCAGGCATCAAGGGGGGACCAAAGGAAGTTATCAGAAAGTTTTAAAACAGTTTGACAGATTACTCTAGGATAGCACGATAACCACTACTGCTGTACCAGTTGTGTTTTGAGTGTTCCTCTAACAAAGCAGGCTTTGCAATTTAAACTGTCAGTTGCAGAACAGTAAACAAAAGAATAACTTTCTGTATTATACTTAACTGCACCACTGAGTCAGCTCCAGCTTCCTGTAAAACAAAAAACAAACATTTATCTCACATGTGCCTCTTAGCACAGTTTCAATAGAGCTATTTGAAAACAACTTCCCTAGTCTGCCAAAAGGCAGATTAAATTTGCTTAGTTATCCTCATTCCTTAAGGTAGATGGCCAGCCCCATTCAGAGAGTACTCCCCATGATGTTAAACTGTACAAAAATTAACCAGAGTTAAGATGTCTGGACTCTGGGCACAACACTGTAGTGACATTAACTGGTTTTGGAGGACCTTCAAAATTGTAGAACTTCAGATCTACATACAGCAGAAAGCTGGTAATCAGTCTGAGAAGCACTGGATTCAACGATTCTCTGAAAGTGCCAGACCATGGCAACAGCCATGCATGTGTTACCGGTACCCAGAGATTCTCTACACATTGGACAGAGGTCAGAAACTGACAGTTACTGACTAAGCACTGTTACTTAACCATTTTAAAACCAAGTTGGTATAATCAGATTAAAATAAATTTATATCCTTCAAATTTTGAAGGCTTCTCATGCTCCAAATAGAGCAGAGACAAACACGAGTTAAAGGAACACTATATAGCCTCAGGAATAATATTCCTGACACTATAGTGCTGGGGGCCAGGGATCTAAAGGGCCACACCACGTGCTTTACTAGACTTTTCTCCCACACTGAAATCTCTGCAGCAGGCCTCTCCTCCGTAGGTGATGTTAAAAATTTCACCCAAGCAAATGCTCTCATAAAATTTTTTGAAAGGTTATTGTGCATGCGCAGCAACACTGCATTGCTATAGTCAGCATCGCCATACTCTGAGTGGAGGAGCACAATGCCAGTACTGCACATTGCAACACTAACACAAGAAGCACCTCTCATGGCCATCTGGGTGAATGCCACTAGATGTGTAAATAGCCAGCAATATAAACACTGCCATGTCTCTGAAAAGGCAGTGTTTATAGTGCAAATGCTGTAGGGACATGCTAGAGACACCGGAACCACTACATTAAGCTGTAGTGGTTCTGGTGACTAAAGCATCCATTTAAGTTGTTTGCTGCACAACTCAAGCCAAGTGATAAGTATAAATACACTTCCCAAAAAAAAATATAGCTCCAGACAGGATTCAAAGCACAAAACATAAACCTGTACTTTGAGTTTTATGGAGCATTTAGTATACCCCCCTATATTGGTCACTTTAAAAATAGAAAGTCTTAAAGTGAGCAAAGCAGAAGGGAAAGGATCTCAAAAACATCCAACTTCTATTCCCAAATTTTCAATCAGGTTTATTTATAAAAAAAAAAGTGTAATACGAAACTATAGAGCATTGAATACCTTTATTACTTGCAGAGCAACTTCAATCACTGCATGTTCAGCTTTTTTGTTTTTACAGTCCATCCTATAGAGAAAGAAAGCAAAATAAGGATTTAATTCAGATGTAGGTTTTAAAATCATGCCCATAAGCATTTCTACTGAAAATACAGGTTATTTTGACACTCTACACACTGCATACAAAGAGACATTAACTGAGAATATATATAATAAATAAAGACACCCACCCACATAATGCCCCCAGACTGCATTGCAGATCAATAAAGCTGTAGATATCAGAGCAGTATTTACATTATAAACCATTACAGGAGACACTGGGCCTGGTGTAGCTCACGACAGGATACAGAGATAAGGAGGGGACACCTCTTCCCTGTGTTTGAGAGAGTTCATGATCTCCCCCCCTGTGTTATCCACTGTGGAGCATGGAGGGGCTTCCAGTGGGCGTTGAAGGGGTTTATATAGAACTGACTCTATTCAGACAACAAACGTGCTTGGTGAGAGCACACAAAGCCGCACCCATCACTCACCCAGCCGCAGGAGGAAAGAGAGCACAGGCCGCCGCCAGGGACCTTATAAAGGGTACGAGATACCGCGAGAGTTGGCCGCGTTCACGTGACCGATTCTGAACGTAGCGTTGACAGAGGGCTACTGTGAATGGCTGAGGTTTCTGTGCGGGCGGGGAATTTTAACTTCCGCTTCTCTGAACGAGCACGCCTACTACACTGCGCTGCACCACGGGAGTTGTAGTCCAAAGCGGATATGCTGTCTGCGTTCCCTTGCCCTGGTTGGCGTGGTGTGTCTCTGGATGGAGATTCATTGATTAAATTTGTATTTTTTTTAAATATTTTTTTTGTTGCGCGTTAAAAAGGAAATTGTAGGCTAAACGAGCTAATATAATCTAGTTCATTATAAACACCATGCATTAAATAAAGTAATAATATGTCTCTGATAAAAGCTGCACACTATATATATCGTGTTATTAGGAGTTCTGAGCTTTCTTAGTAACGTGTATGATGTTTTCTTGTGCTTTGGCTGCAAGGTGGCTACAACCTTTCTACCATACCTTACAACAACTGGAGGGTGGGGGACAGAGCCATGAGGGGGCATAGCCAGTGAAGCCTTTTGGGATGGGGTGGGCAGAGCCATGATTGGGCATCGCCAGCCATGCCTATACTGGCATTGGTTGGGCAGAGCAGTGAGGGAGCATTGCTAGTGCCGCCTTTACTGGGATGAGGTGAGCAGAGCTATGAGGGGGCATCGCCAGTGGCGCCGATAATGGGATGGGGTGGACAGAGCCATGTCAAGCCTTTTGGGATGAGGGGGCATCGCTAGTGACACCTATACTGGGTTGGGGTGGGCAGAGCCATGAGGGGGCATCTCCAGCGACGCCTTTACAGGAATAGGGTAGGCAGATCCGTAAGGGGGCATTGTCAATGATGCCTATACTGGCAAGAATTTGCCAGATCAATGAGGCGGCATTGCTAGTGACACCTATTCTGGGATGGGGTGAGCAGAGCCATGAGGGGGTATCGCCAGTGATACCTATACTGGCATGGGATTAGCAGAGCAATGAAGGGGCATTTCTAGTGACTCCTATGCTGGGATAGGGTTGGCAGAACCATGAGGGGGCATTTCCAGTGACCTATAATGGGCACTAACATGGGACAGAACCCCAAAACCGTGACTGACCGCCAAAAGCAGGACTGTTGGGAGGCCTGCTCTACACCCACACACAGTCTCTCTAACCTGGGTTTGTCACCTTTCTTGTAAAAAAATACCAGCAGTGCTAATTTGCATAATTAGGGATTATTCTAGCTTTAGTAAAGGAATAATCTAAATTTTATTAACGACAGGAGGCGAATATTTGCTTAATCTTTCTTTACTGAACCTCCCAGCAGCAAAGAAACAGTTAACAATGATGTAAAAAATTCAACCAGAGTGTACAACAATGTCATATAGTGTCCTCATGCTCCTCCCAACTCCTCTTTCTTGCTGTAGCCGAAATTGGCATTGATCAACCATGTAAACGGAGTAACTTGACGAACAGTAGACGAAGATAAAGGTCCTGTACTGGGTCAACCATGTAAACCAATAACTGATGAGCTGTAAGCTCCTTATCATAACAACCGTAGAAAGTCTTCACACTAGAAGAAAACATGGACACAGTCAAACCCGCCCTGGAACACTCCTACAGCATGCCCATAACACTCCCACAACACGACTGTGCATGAACATAAAGCATAAAAATACCCCAAAACACAGCAAAGACTGAAAATAACCTCTCACGTAATATATCCCCAAATAGCTCCTCTTCCCAGCTATGATCCCTGCAAATAGCGGCGCATTGGATGTACACAGCTCGAGGAATCGTCGTACAAAGTCTGGGCTTGAGGCTTTGTACATATCCTCAAATAGTTCCACAGAATCACTTGGTTTAGGCCGGTCATTGCTCCTATGTTTAGTATCCTTCCGTAGGGCTTCTGATATTCGAGCGTTTGACTACCACGCTGTAGTTTTCACACCTGAGGGGGTTAGATTACATATCACCAGACGTACGAAGACAAATTCTTCTTCAGTCTTTTACCATTACTTTTCAAGCAGACCTTCCCTTTGCGTGGCGTGTTGTGTTCGACATTGTACTGATACCACAGCAACGCTGCGTTCTCCTTTGGGACCCCTTCTGGCTTCTTATGTCAGACCGCACAAACCGGTCTCCTCTCCCATGATTGCACAGTGGAAAAGATGCTTTACTATGGACTGTTTGAATGCGCACGCTCCACTTGGGAGCTGATGTCGGCGGGGGAGGAGAGAACACCAGCGCCGAGGGAGCCTGGCACTGGATTAAGGTAAGCTGCTGAATGAAGGGTTTTCAACCCCTTCAGCCCAGCTGGAGGGGGACCCTGAGGGTGGGGGCACCCTTAGGGCACTATAGTGTCAGGAAAACGGGTTTGTTTTTTCTGACACTATAGTGATTAGTGATGTTCCGAACGGTTCGCCGAACGGTTCGCCACGAATGTTTCGCCACGGACTCATCATTGAGTAAACTTTGACCCAGTACCTCACAGTCAGCAGACACATTCCAGCCAATCAGCAGCAGACCCTCCCTCCCAGACCCTTCCACCTCCTGGACAGCTCACTAAGAATGCAGCTTCACAATGAATGTAAAATGGATGCTGTCCAGGAAGTGGGAGGGTCTGGGAGGGAGGGTCTGCTGCTGATTGGCTGGAATGTGTCTGCTGACTGTGAGGTACAGGGTCAAAGTTTACTCAATGATGAGTCCGTGGAGAACCGTTCGTGGCGAACCGTTCGGGACATCACTAATAGTGATCCTTTAAATAGCCATAATATCTTCAACCCAGTGCTAGATCAGCCTCCTCAGATCAGTCGCTCTTTTGACAATTTTACACACAGCTATGTGTGCTTACACCAAAAGGGAGAAGTATACATTTAACTGAGAAAATCAGACCATGAAGATACTATGTGATAAACCTCAACATGCCAAGCACCATAACAGCTGAAGCTTATTGTACTGTTAAGGTGCAAGGAGTCTGTGGGTGCTATCCATCCAGTTTTTAATTTTTATTTATTTATTTTTGTTTCCAGGCATTTTCAAGCATACATAAGGATGTTTCATCCAAAATGTTTAATAGTAAATGGAAGTCAAGCGAGACGAATCATGTTTTGATGCTGCTGTGTTGAAGCATGCTCATAGTAAACTGTGTCAGTTAGTTGGTGTTCGCCTCCCATTTGCCCCTACAAATCTTTTTGGGAGGAAGGTGAACTGTCCTTTATACTATATACTAAGATATGTAACAGGGCTGATGTTCCAGGAGGCATAAGCCAAATGACAAATGATTTAGGTAAACTAGAAAAATCGCCAGAGTTGTGGCAGCTGACATTTAATGTGGATAAGTGCAAGATAATGCTTCTTGGACGTAAAAACCCATGGGCAGGGTACAGAATATTTGGGTAGAGTCCTAACCTCAACATCTGAGCAAAGGGATTTAGGGGTTATTATTTCTGATGACTTAAAGGTAGGCAGACAATGTAATCAAGCAGCAGGAAATGCTAGCATAATGCTTGGTTGTATAGGGAGAGGTATTAGCAGTAGAAAGAGGGAAGTGCTCATACCCTTGTACAGAACACTGGTGAGACCTCACTTGGAGTATTGTATGCAGTACTGGAGACCGTATCTCCAGAAGGATATTAATACTTTAGAGAGAGTTCAGAGAAGGGCTACTAAACTGGTTGATGGATTGCAGGATAAAACTTACAAGGAAAGGTTAAAGGAACTTAACATGTATAGCTTGGAGGAAAGATGAGACAGGGGGGATATGATAGAAACATTTAACCACTTAAGGACACATGACATGTGTGACATTTCATGATTCCCTTTTATTCCAGAAGTTTGGTCCTTAAGGGGTTAAATACATAAAGGGAATCAACACAGTAAAAGCGGAGACTATATTTAAAAGAAGAAAAACTACCACAACAAGAGGACATAGTCTTAAATTAGAGAGACAAAGGTTTAAAAATAATATCAGGAAGTATTACTTTACTGAGAGGGTAGTGGATGCATGGAATAGCCTTCCAGCTGAAGTGGTAGAGGTTAACACAGTAAAGGAGTTTAAGCATACGTGGGATAGGCATAAGGCTATCCTAACTATAAGATAAGGCCAGGGACTAATGAAAGTATTTCAAAAATTGGGCAGACTAGATGGGTCGAATGGTTCTTATCTGCCGTCACATTCTATGTTTCTAATGCCAACTTGGCAGAGAGTTGGCGTAACAAAAAAGCCTCGTTAGAAGGCCAAGATTCCATGAAGGAAAAAACCTGAGTGACATCTCAGAAATTAGTTTATCTGGGCGAATGCCCCATAGAAGTCTACACACAGAGGGGTGTTTCCCTATTGAGGAATTAACAATGGAGTTGTGAGCTGCAGAGATTGCAGACCGAAACACATTAATCGATCTATAGGATTTGCCTTGGTCAAAGAGGGTAGATAGAAAATTTAGAATGGCTGGAAAAGGTGATGAAAAGTGATCGGATCTGGAACCTTTTTAGATGGTCCAGTTTCTTGGATTTTAAATAGATTCAATACAGGCAATTGCCTTCTGCAAAGATCAAATCTATAAAAAAAAGACATTCTAAAATCATTGTCGGCTCAATAGATTCGCCTGCGCGATATAGCTCATTTTATAGGTCTCCTTTCTGTCTCTATCCAGGCTATATACCTTTACACTACCAAGCTATGCAGCGGTTAAAAACATTTTATCTAGACCGGTCCAGTTCCTACGACCAGCTGATTAGCCTAACGGACGAAGTCCGTATAGAACTCCACTGATGGCTTCACAACATGGATGCCTGGAATGGCAAAGCCATATTCGGGTCACAGCCAGACTTCATTGTGGAATCTGATGCCAGCCTGCTGGCATGTGGCGCAACATGCTCAGAGAGGTCCAAATGAGGACTATGGTCCCCTTCGGAACAGGCGCTACACATAAACTGCCTCAGACACCAGCTGACCCATGTCTGCCATGCAGAGAGGTAAGCGTGTCTAGGGCCCATGAATCCCATAGGAGAGCTTGAGCTATTTCTGAAAGTCCCGAGACATTCCAAGATCCCCTGAAATGGTCCAAGCTACAAGCTGGAGGCGTTCTTGAAGAGCGAGCGGAGGACAGTCCCCTGCTGGGTTCCTGAGGATGGCAGGGTATCAGGGCAATAGAAGTGGGTAGTTCACTGATAGTTCCAGAAGAGTAGGGAACCAAGTCTGGGCCCTCCACAAGGGAGTTACAATGACTATTGTAAATACTAGAGCTTTGACCTGATAAAGGATGCGTTGGATCATGGAAGAGGTCGGGAACGCATAAGCTCCCGTGTCTGGCCAAGGGTGTAGAAATGCATTGACTGCCAGGGATTGGGGGTCTGCAAGCCAGCTGAAAAAGGCCTCCATCTGGCAGTTCAACCGAGACACAAATAGGTCCAGTTTGTGAGCTCTGCGAAGGAGATGAATGTGATGAAACAGTAGGGGATCCAATTGCCCATTGCTGACGTCCCTCCAATGATGGGAGAACCAGTCTCAGTGGCGGATCCAGGGGGGGGCAACGGGGCAATTGCCCCCCCCCAAGAAAACCAAGGGTCTCCCTCTCCCCTGCCAGCACATGCAGGCGATAGCCCTGCAATGTGCCTTCATGGACCGTAGAGGGAGATCAGAGATCTCCCTCCCCGGTCCGCAGGCACTGTGCTGGCAGCCAGCGGGGGGATGGAGAGAGAGAGGACCCGGGAGCTCAGCCTGCAGCCAGGATCGCAGGCTAGAGTTCACTCTAACCACTGGGAATCCCCACCGGACCACCAGGGACTAAGAAATGTCCCCCCTACTCCCAGTAAAGGTAAGATGGGAGGGGGGACATAAATATATTTTAATTAAATAATTTTTTTTTAAAAAGTATATTATAAAAAAAGCCCTCCCTAGCCTTATCACACATACTCACACCCTACACACACATTGCCCCTCCCCCCTCACACACATATACTGCCCCCATACACACTCTGCCCCATACACACGTTGCCCCCCTCACACACACACTGCCATAACACACATACACTGTCCCAGACACACACACTGCCCCCCACACACACACTGCCCCCTCACCCACACACTGCCCCCACACACACACACTGCCCCCACACACACACTGCCCCAGACACACATACACTGCCCCCACACACACTGCCCCAGACACACATACACTGCCCCCCACATACACTGCCCCCATGCACACACTGCCCCCACACACACACACACTGCCCCAGACACACATACACTGCCCCCCCACACACACACTGCCCCAGACACACATACACTGCCCCCACACACACTCTGCCCCAGACACACATACACTGCCCCTCCACACACACATTGCCCCACATACACACACTGCTCCATCACACATGCACACACATTGTCCCCACACACACACATTGCCCCACACACACATACACTGCCACACACACACATTGCCCCCACACACACACTGCCCCAGACACATACACGCTGTCCCAGGTGTTCACCTCTACACACACACCATTTATACACACACACTGCCCCCATACACACCATTGCCCCCTCATACACACCCCCCCCCATACACACACACTGCCCCCCATACACACATACACACACACTGCCCCACATACAGCCTCCCATACACACACACTGCCCCACATACAGCCTCCCATGTCCCCCATACTGCCCCCCATAGACACACATTGCCCCCCATACTGCTCTCCATAGACACACACTGCCCCCCATACACACACATTGCCCCACACACTGCCCCCCATACACACACATTGCCCCACACACTGCCCCCCATACACACACAATCTACACACATACACTATCACCATACACACACACACTGTATGGACTCAGCAGTCTGTGTGTGTGTGTATGGACTCAGCAGTCATACACACACACTGCCCCCCATACACACACACTGCCCCACATACAGCCTCCCATACACACACACTGCCCCACACACTGCCCCCCATACACACACAATCTACACACATACACTATCACCATACACACACACACTGTATGGACTCAGCAGTCTGTGTGTGTGTGTGTATGGACTCAGCAGTCTGTGTGTGTGTGTGTGTGTGTGTGTATGGACTCAGCAGTCTGTGTGTGTGGACTCAGCAGTTTGTGTGTGTATGGACTCAGCAGTTTGTGTGTGTATGGACTCAGCAGTCTGTGTGTGTGTGTGTACGGACTCAGCAGAGTCTGTGTGTGTGTACGGACTCAGCAGAGTCTGTGTGTGTGTACGGACTCAGCAGAGTCTGTGTGTGTGCACGGACTCAGCAGAGTCTGTGTGTGTGCACGTGTACGGACTCAGCAGTCTGTGTGTGTGTGTGTATGGACTCAGCAGTCTGTGTGTGTGTCTGTATGGACTCAGCAATCTGTGTGTGTGTAAGGACTCAGCAGTCTGTGTGTTTGTGTATGGACTCAGCAGAGTGTGTGTGTGTGGACTCAGCAGTCTTTGTGTGTGTATGGACTCAGCAGAGTCTGTGTGTGTATGGACTCAGCAGAGTCTGTGTGTGTGTATGGACTCAGCAGAGTCTGTGTGTTTATGGACTCAGCAGAGTGTGTGTGTTTGTGTGTATGGACTCAGCAGAGTGTGTGTGTTTGTGTGTATGGACTCAGCAGAGTGTGTGTGTGTGGGTTTGTGGACT